TTGCCACAAAATTTTAAATATGAAATCGATGCATTTTATTATTCGTGTAATCTTTCATTCGAATAAAAAATAGTGTTCGATACGAGGGCGAAAATGTCGTTTTTCGCCCTTGCCTGAAGAACAATTGCGTAGCAAAAGTGGTTAATCGAACAAATCGAGATGGTAATTTCAAAATGATGTTTGTAGGAATGAAGGTGTCCATTCAAGTTTCGTTGAACGACGAAGAATAGAAGCAAGGCATTAGTAGTAAAATGTTGTGTTTGTTGCAGTGAGAAGATGCTACTGCGAAGGGCACTGCCCCAATGGGCAAAGCAACGGAACGTGCGAGGTCAAGATGGGCGGCATGTGTTTTACCGACGTGGAGGCCTACGTGGATGACGACGTGGAATACCCGGTGCGACGATACGGGTGCCTCCCACCGGACGAGGGCAGCTTGATGCAGGTTGGTGTTCACAGCGAGCCGAGCGATTTTTCCAGCTCTAATGCTTGATCCTTCCGCAGTGCAAAGGCCACTTGGTGCCCCACCAAAACAGCAAGAGCATCCAATGCTGCAACGACTCGGACTTCTGCAACAAGAACCTGGAACCCATGTACACGCCCAGGCCCACCACGGAAATGCCCACCTTTGGGACCACCGACAGTCTGCCCTATACGGTGCTGCTGGCTTCGGTCACGTTTTGCCTCAGCATCCTGCTGCTGGGCGTGGCGCTCGTCTACATCAAATACCGCAAAAAAGAGGAGCAAAGCAAGCTGAACCTCTACGCCAAAGACTGCTCGGCGGAAAAGTACGGCAACATGGAGATTCACGGGCCGCTGTCCAGTTTGATTGAGAAGTCGAGCGGCTCCGGGTCGGGACTGCCCATCTTGGTGCAGCGCACCATTTCCAAACAGATCCAGATGATCAAACCGGTGGGCAAAGGCAGGTACGGGGAAGTTTGGCTGGCCAGCTGGCGGGACGAGAGCGTAGCCGTGAAGATCTTCCTGACCACCGAGGAGCAAAGCTGGTTCCGGGAGACTGAAATCTATCAGACGGTGCTGATGAGGCACGACAACATTCTGAGCTTCATTGCGGCCGACATCAAGGGCAGCGGCTGGACGCAGATGCTGCTGATCACCGACTACCACGAGAACGGCTCGCTCTACGACTACCTGCAGGACCATTGCTTGGACCCGAGCAGTTTGCTGGTGATGGCCAAAAGCATCGCGAGCGGCATCTCGCATCTGCATACGGAGATCTTCAGCACGCGGGGCAAGCCCGCCATCGCCCATCGGGACCTGAAGAGCAAAAACATCCTGGTGAAGCAGAACGGCGAGTGCTGCATCGCCGACTTCGGTCTGGCTGTGCGGTTCCTAAGCGAGTCGAACGAGATCGACGTTCCGCCTAATGTGCGCAGCGGCACCAGACGCTACATGGCTCCGGAGATTCTGGACAAGTCCATCCATTCGCTGGACTTTGAAGCGCACAAGAAGGCCGACATCTACGCGTTGGGGCTGGTCTTTTGGGAACTGTCCCGCCGGTGCGCCACTGGGGACAAAATCAAAATCGTCGACAATTACGCGGTGCCCTACTATGACTGTGTGCCGAGTGATCCCAGTTTCGACGACATGATGCAAGTGGTGTGCCTCAAGAAGATCCGGCCGCAGATTCCTCTCAGATGGGAGTCCGAGGATGTTCTGCTCACGTTGGCCAAGGTGATGCAGGAGTGTTGGCACTCGAACCCCGATGTTCGGTTAACGGCCCTGCGAGTGAAAAAGACCCTTTTCAAGCTGGAGCCTGACACTACCATAAAGATCGTGTAATTTATATTTAGCGTAGTTACGTTCGTTTGGGGGACACTTTCGTCCAAGCAACTGTACCTGTAAATATGCATGTAGTTAGGCCATTGCTACTGCAGAAATAGCTTTAATTTGTGTCCAAAGTGCCCGCGCAGTGAGAGCGGAAAGATACAGACTGTACATATTTATTTCTAGATGTAAATAGCCCTACCAACTAGCCCTCAATCACTCTTGTAAAGTACCTAAAGCGCAGAGGTTTGTCGTCTATGTTGCGAATTTCTGCGACTGTTCGGCGCAAAACCGATTTGACAATACATGCGATTAAACTAGACCCTTACAGTAGCAACAAACGAAATCAGGGCATGCGAGGACGTTCTTATTTGCCATAGTAAGTGTCTGATATTTCCTATGTAACGGTGCCATCCACTTCTAAGTACTGTATGCGAACTGTTCAGTGCAAATTTCGGGTAATTTATATCCAAACTAAAGTAATGGGTGTTTTATAGTGTGAATTTTTGACCAATAAGGGATTTTCTTCAAAAACATTTTTTTAACTTCGCAACCTTAGTCTATCGTTTGTTTTTTTTTGATGAAATGTTTGTACAAAATCGAAACGTTCACTCGTTAACTTCGCACCCAGTTGCTCAAAACCGATTCGGAATGAAATCAAGTGCAATTCATCTTTAAGTTGTTTTTTTACTTGTTATTATCAGTTGAAACAAAGTTTATGTCTCAAATAGGCCGAGTGACTGTTAGAATGTGCATTTACATTTTTAGACAATACGTTTAATTTTCGTTTAGTTTTAAATGGAATAGTTTCGTTTGAATGTGCATTGTTTTTATTGCAAGACTGATAAATGGATGTTGTGTTTAATGTATAATATTAAAAAACAAATGTGTAACAAATTGTAATAAATTTAATTTTAATAATGCAGTTCACTGATCTTCGTTATTTCTCTTTACGTTTCAACCGGGAAGAGAACCCAAAACCCCCAGTGCGTCTGGTTATAACATGAAAAGGCTCTTCACTCACAAAACCGTTTATTTATCAATCAATTAAAAAACCTGTATGATTTAGCAAAAGCCATGAATACATACAATTTTTTACAGACAAAATCTTAACGCTACATTTTAAAATGTACTGTACTAACTCAGACTGTGAAGGCTCACGGCCAGTCAAATCACATTTACAAATCTTTTTCGGGCTTCAAAGCCGTCGTCCATGGAAATTTCTGGCTGACGTTTCGTCCACAACTGCGGTTGACATTGTCAAAGGCGATGACGCAGTGGGCGTGGTGATCTCCCGTGACAGGGGATCCAGTAGTTGAACCCAGAGATGCCAGGTCTACCGATTTGTCAAGGAACCTACCGATCTACCGATACCATGCAGATTTCGACCGAAAAGTAACAAACAAAAATTGAAAAAATAATATAACATTCTTTTTCAAACATAAAATGAATCAAGCCTGCCATATTATGATAAATATATATGATAAAATTATGTTTTATGGATCCTTCAATAGCGAAATCAGGTTCCCTACAATCTATTTCTGATGTTGCAATGATAATTCCAAATTTAATAAATGATAGTGAATTACAAGGTCTGGACACAGACTAACGTCTGTTGCGAAATGTTGAAGAAATTAAAAAAATGTCTGGAAATATTGAAGAGTTTTGGAGCCAAGTACAAATATTGAACTATAGAGCTGATACATTCGTGTTTCCAATTTTATTTGTAACCTGCATATTCTACCTCACTCATTAGCCAAGTTGAACGGATGGTACCATTTCATCTGTACTTCTTTACTGACTCATGTTTATTTTAGTATTCCTGTAAGTTTAAAAGTTTTGAGAAACGCGCGATTTTATGGAGCCTTTAATATAGCTTTAATAATATGGAGCTTATCTACTGAAACTCGATTTTGGCACGAACCTGGCAACCCTGGTTGAACCAGTCTTAGTCGGAAAGCACGGGGGATCACTTCGCCAATTGCCTCATCGCCTTTGCGTCGTCTACCCATAGAGAAAGTAAAATTATTACTTTGTTAGTTATTTTACTTTCTCTATGCGTCTACCGCAGTCAGGCAGAAATCCGCATGGACCACGGGTTCAAAGCGCGAAAAACGTTTCTATACATACCATACTAACTGTTAGGAACTTGCAATCGCGCTGCATTTACTATCGAACATTCTTAATTGGACAACAAATACATTATTGACTGGTCAGTTAATTCAGCAACGCAACTAGACTGCGGTGTTGTGACTTGTGGCTTTTTCTGTGTAGTCTTCGGCACGATTGTACAAAGTCCTGTACGGCGGCGGCACTGAAATCGAAAAAGAAATGCACCTCATTAGATCAAAATTTGCCCTGAATATTATAATAATTGTCAAACGTGTATACCTCTGACTGCGTTGGATTTGCGAAAAGAAGCAGTTCGCACGCAATTCGCCATCGTCAAGAACGGCAATGCCGTGCTGGGGTAGTTCGTCTTGTCCATGAACTCTATTCCACAATGGGGGCATAAAACTTGATTCTGGTGGCATGAAAAACAGATGATTTCAGCGCCACAGAGCCGAAAATCCCATTCGCTGGCCATCCCGCAAAGAGAACACGTATGTACATGCAGTTGGGCGCAAGGCGAGTGTACTTGAACACTAATATCAAAGGTGCTCGAGTCATTTCTGTAAGGGAATAGGGAGTGCAGAGGCAACTTGAGCTTCATAGCGGCCATGTCAAATAGATTTCGCGTAAAATATGCGACGCAAGGTTCGGCCCCTGCATAGTAGCGCGTCCCGTCTGTGACGATCACTGAAAACAGGCATGGATATGGACATTTGGTCACCGCCAGCACGTCCAGCCACAACATGCCATCCCGCGTTTTATAGTGGATTAGATAAAGGCGCCCTCCATGTCGGAATGCGATTAGATCCCAATTGTTGGCCAATATCCTGATAGTCACTGGGTTTGCTATGCTAACAGTATGCGCACCTTGGAAATGCGAATATATCTGAAACATCTCGATCGACACCCCGCAGCCGGGATATGGGCAAGTAATAGCTTTATATGCGCATGTTTGGTCGTGCAATGACTGTTCGCCCCACCGGATCGTCCCTGTGCATTCGCTGGATCGGTGGCATGGAAAGACCAGCTTCTCCGCAAAGGTCTCATACAGAAGATTTCGAAAATATGAATTGCTATCATTGGCATTCTTCCCGTAGCACTTGTGGCATTTATTGCAGCTCCCATCTTTCGCACTGTAAACAGGCGATTCGGACAAGTACCCCGAACATCCGAAGCATTTCAGCAGGAAAAAATGTTCTTTCGTGATAATACCTGTTGAAATCGGTTCTTGTCCTTGAAGCTGAAAATACACAAAACTGTGTTACTGATAGATATAGAGCCTCTGTTCAAACCAATCCTAGATACAAGGCCCAAGCGCTTACGCGTGACGTTATCCTATCTGGTCAAGTTGATTTTCCTTTACGAGGGCGTTAGCAGGGATAATATTCCCTATTCATTTTGTTATTTGGCTGAGGTTTTCGTAAACAATTTTTTTTATAAATGATGTTTTCGTAAATAATGATCGAACCTTTGCGCGAAACCGCTCTCAACCATTGTTGTTTGAGGTTATCTGCTTCCGGAAAGCTAAAAACTTGCACTTTGGGGCCGTTCGGGTAATTTCCGCGACACTCCGGAACACAACACCAGTAAGGCATAATTTGTTTAAGTGAAATTCACTAGAAAAACACAAAAAAGAGGTAAACTTCTTCGGATCCGAAAAAATACAAACAACTTCCGGTGTATCTGGAACTCTACCAGTGTTGCCGTAAGTTTTTGTCGATTGCACTGTTCAAATACTAGTTTATTTCTTTAATCACTAATTAATGTTTACCCCAATCAGGATAGCCCCTGTTATATGTATATTTTTATGAAAACTGTCGGCAATCAATTATAAAACGTTTACCTAATTATAATGTATTTTTCTCTTCCAACTTTTGAATTAAAGCCCCAGGAAATTAGCGCTGACCGGCAACCCCGCGAAGTACTTGCCACGTTTCATCTGTGCAGACGACCAGATAAGTTGATAACGAAACCTGGCTCCTCAATAGTCATAACCTGATTTGGTCTACAGCCAAGGGCGGATCCAGGACCGGGGGGCCAAGGGGGTCATGACCCCCCCCCATTCAGTTCTCTATCCAACGATGCCAAAACGAATTCTGTGGCTCGAATGGTTCTTGAGAAACTTCTGAGAGAAAGCAGCGTCATGTTCAAGTGGATTTTTCAACTCAAAAAATAGTAAATAAAATTAATTGTTATTAAAAACTGAGAAATTTGCAAAAAACTATATGAGAAAAACGGCAACAATGTTTTTCAAGGTAATCTGCCTAATTAACATTTCTTAAAAACCCGGCAATTCTGTTTATTTACGCAAGAATTGGCCCAAGAACGATTTTTACGAACCGTAAAATGAACGAAGCGCTCGGTAAATTGAACTAAACAGCGATTTTCGAAATAAATTGTCGAATTTGGAGCGATGAAAATCGAAAATCCGAAAATCACTATTTAAACGTCGTTAACTCACTGTTTGATGTGTTTTTCATGATCTAGTGGTACCAAAGTGGTCGAAAATTGGACTTCTTTCGTGGATTGCTCTTCATTCGAACCAGCCGTTTTTTACCTAGGTACTTTATTATTATCAAGAAACACATTTTTGAGGCCTTTCCTTGAAACTAATGGGTTTTTCGGGTTTTTAGGCCGTCGTTTGGTAGAATTTCTTCGTGACGTTTCGCAAGCACGAGTGGACTTGCATCTTCAGAAGTGCTTTGCTTGAACAGTGTAAGCGTTTTTTGTTTTTTAAGTTTTTTAAGCATTTTTTGAGAAAACTGCCAACATTTCCTGATCGACGGTTCACTTTCTGAAAAGGCCATTTATTTCTCTCTAGAATGATATACAAATGAGCGTTCTTGCATCTTTTGCTTCCGATAAATGGGCAAAAACGGGACGGGAAACATGGAATTTTGGCATAATCTTGCCCCTAAGTGTGTGATATTCAAATTTCGCTTTCTGGGTCAAAACTACTCGAATTTCCTCACTCACGTTGTTACGACTGAATCGACTTTTCAATTCTCTATC